AGTAGTGTCATATAATTTTAATATAATATAATAACTAAAAATTGTAATTAGGAAATCATCGCTTTCAATCCGATCGAAAAACTAAGTTATCAAAACAAACATTTTATGCTCAGTAATATTTCAAGCAAGATTGAATTGTGAAATTGTTAAATACTAAAGAAAAATTCGTCAATTTATATTTAAGTATATATTTGAGACTTAAATGATATTTTGAAATATCACTTCTATACAATTTTAAACGACACTTGAATATTTTGAACACCATATAGTGCTGATTTGTAACTATTATCATTTAGAGGGCCCAACTTAGCATATTCGTTTATGATTTCGAAAAAGCACTACCCTGTACAAAAGATATACTCAGCTATAAAAATGTAGATGAGTTTATCTAGCAAAGCAGATGAGCGTTGAAATGTGTACCTCAAGCATCCATTCGGAACATTTAACAAATCTGAGCATATTCCTGACAAATAAAATGGGATGATTCAATGATATGCAGACATCGTTCACAAGTTTGCCCCAATTTAGATAAAATCCTATTGAGATGCCTTACAAGAATATCAGTCTGGTATTAACAAGAGCCACGATTAAATATTGAATTTCCTATTTAACAATTTCTGCCACAGTTGTGGGGCAGATGAAAACAATGCCTAACATCTGCTTTGCTATTGCCTAACGCATGTACAATGTGTATCCATCATTCGCGTGACAGGTTTTTTTAGAGAATCTAGCCGGCCTCAAAATCATCTTTCAAATACCATTATAGGCTTTATCAAAGTTTCAATAACCTAACACAATACATCTGTTTAAATCTTTATTAGCAAAATGACAAAAAAAATTGATAAATAGGACTGAACCCTAGTCGGACAGGATAGGTACAATAGTGTCTGTTGCACTTTTTAATTGCAATAACTTTCTTTGCCTATACCGCAGTGGCTTGAAATTTTGGAAGTTATCTACACTTTTGCTTTAAATAATATTTTTAAAATTTAAGAAAAATATCTGGAGAACTTTCTAAGATATGTTCAAAACACATCTTAGATCAGTCATTGAATAATCACGAAGATTATGAGGAATACTCAAATTAGTCCGTGAGATGGGTGGGACTCTGCAATACTTACCTATTTGGTCGAGTGTCGCAAGTTAATAACTAAAAGTAACTAAATAACTAAAAGTATGTTTATTAATTGATTAATTGAAATTAATTGAAATTTTTAATGATTTGCTTATTTGTACGCAAGTGTATACTTGATAAAATCATTCAACAAGATTCTTAAACCTGAACCCTTCAAGCAAATTTCAGCTTCATTATCCCCTTCATTATCCACATAAACTCATAAATATTAAGATTTCAGTATTTTTAGATAGTGGTGGTAATTAAGTCTGATGTTTTTTAGTTGACTTATGAGTTATCTTCTTTTATGGTTAAAGCTTCTGTTCTTTATATCCTGATACGACCAATTAAGGTCACACTGTGCCCTTAACCAATTTATATCGTCTGCGAAAAAGATGCTCTGTTGCAGAATTTCGTGAGAATAAAACGCGGCAATGATATATTTCCCAATATATTATTATTATTATTATTATTATTATTATATTTGTATATAAATTTCAGATTTTAATCAAAACAAAACGTATGTTAACATAATTTTTCAAACTGAGCATATTCTCAAACTTGCGCTGGGTATGTTTGCACCGCTTTGTTCACTGCATGAAACTATTTAGTGTTTTCAGAAATACTGTTTTTATTTTGTAATTTTTTCCATGTGTTTTTAAGACACGTGTTAGTAGCTAGATTTCGTTTCCCCACATGCTTCTAGAAAGACATTTGTGCTGTTAGAATCACTCTTAAAGCTTCATTTTCTTCTTTATATATATTTAGTTACATACATTTTCAAAAACTGTCATTAACTATATGAACAATATATACTAAACTATATAAAGTATATAACGTTTTTCTTTATAAATGCAAAATTAGTAAAAGAAACAGCAATAGCTTAATTACTAAATATATAGAAAATATCTAAAGCTAGAAATAATATCTTGCTTATTTTTGATTGATTGATTTAATTTTTATTAATGATATATTGGGTGTATTCCAAAATAAAAAGTCTGTAAAAATAACAACAATGCAAAATTGTTTTATTTCAAAACAGTGGTGACTTTAAAATATGTCGAATAATGGTTTTAGGTCATCATTCTAGATACTCTTTTGAAAGCGTATATCAACATTTTGAATATCAACTTAGAAAGTCCAGAATGGCTTTGGGTCAATTGGCTAATGAACACTGACTTTGAGCTACAAATTTGACAGGTTACTACCTTA